TATCCCTATTTAATGTGTATTGTTAACATTAATATGATTTACTCCTATTTAGCCCCCCTTGATATACATTATTATTTCATTAAAATGAAAAATATGACCGTTATCCATCACATCAACATTTAAATTCAAATTTTCTATCTATTGTATGGGCCCCAATAACTACTATATTTTTCATTCTCATTCTACAATAAGGTAGCTCAAACATGGTCTTAGTTTAAATTATAAATGAATAAAATAAGAGATAAATAAATGATTTGCATGTGATTATAACTAGTTATTATTGTTGACTTTTATTAAACGAGTGAGACCCAATAACAACTATATTTTCAATTTTAGCTCCAGTTTGGGCCACTTTTTTATCTCATTAAAATGAAAAGTATGACCATTATTCATCACATCAACATTTAAATTCAAATTTTCCATCTCTTGTGTGAGCCCTAATAATAACTATATTTTTCATTCTCATTCTACAATAAGGTGGTTGAAATAGGGTTGAATTAAAATCTCTCTCAAACAAGCTCTAAGATTTGCATGTGATTAAGCTTGATGTGTTAATTGACATGAAACGTGGGTTTGTCATATCAAAATAATTTAAAGGTGAGCACTTGATTATTTAATGTGAGTTTTCCGAGAATTGAATTGGACCGTTCATGAAGGAAGTTTTTAACTCTTTATACACAGAACGAATGATTCCATGAGTTTGTTTGGGAATTATTAAAATTCAATTAAAATTGAAAATATAGAGGTTCCGCACGTCTAATAAAAGTCAACTCTAACGGCTATATTTTCAATTTTAATCTGATTTTAATCCCTCCCAAACAAGCTCCATATATAATGGTGGAACTGAACCGGATCGAAACTAGTCAATTCCGATTCAACTATAACAAACAAGAATGAATTGTTTTTTAAAAACATAACATGGAAAAAAGAAATGCAATAAACACCGAATTTCTCAAAGAATCCACACATTATCCCATAAGGGACCCCAAGTCTTTGTCACATGGGACT